TACCAGAAACTTTATCTCAAGAACTTTCACAGTTCTTAAACCCAATTTCAATATCATCTCAACATCTTTCAAAAACAGTTTACTCTTCTCAACAGTTTTGAAAGAAACAATATCTTTCCTCAATTTGAAATCAACATTTGAAAGATACATAATGGTAATATTAGTCTTCATCGGACAACACTTGTCCGGATATCACATCACCGGACAACACTCTCCGGACAACATTTGGGTGATAAAACACCCTCACCGGTCAATACTATAATCGGTGAACATCCTCACCAGTCAGTACTATGACCGATAAGGACCCTCATCATTCAATACTTGAATAATAGATATTCAATGCGGACAATGCTTTGTACGATAAGCATCCTCACCGGATAAAGCGTTGGGCGATGAACACCCAATCAAGTCAATACTTAAAACAATAACACTCAATCCGGTTACAACTTGGGCGATAAGAGGCCCAATCCGGACAACATCCTGTCCGATAAAGGTCCTCATCGGACAAAGTTTCATCCGGTAAAGGTCCTCACCGAACAAAACACATAAGATCATAAATGTACTCATCGACCAAAGCTTATGCGATAAGGAACCCTTATCGGACAACACTGTGTCCGATAACAAGCCCTCATCGGACCAAGCATATGAACACTATAAAATACATACCATATTTTGTTCTCAACAACAATATGCAGAAATAGAGTACCATTAAAAGAACATAATCAGATTCAAAGTCTGTATAAAAACTCACCTTATGAAGCAAAGAATTTGAAGATGATTTTACAAAGATTCAACTTCCAAATGATCCCAAAATTCCAGCTTCTATCCTTGGCAAGAATTCTCACAGAAACTTTCTCCTTGCAAAACTTTCCAAAAATGGCATGTGTAGAATGTTATTCAAAAAAAAATTCAACTTTATATACCTTGCCTTAAGAAGGCAGTTGAAGACTTTTAAATAATTAAAAATCCTCCTCACACTCACCTCTACATTCACATGCATGCATATATACACATTTTCACATATACATGCATTCATGAATTTAATATAAACAATTAAACACATAATCAAATAATTACCTTAGATATATAATCGGAACCCGGTTTTCACATAAAGCTTTATCTTCAAATCAAGAATAAAAAAAACCCTGACTCTGAAATCCAACCATGTTTACGAAATAGATGCACAACACATCTCCGGTTAGTCATAATTTTTGAAATTGGGAACTGGGAAGTTGGGAAAACAATGGAATGGGTACATCGTTGGATACAGACTAAAGTTTCACAGTAAGAACCAAAGTGACCGAGGAAAGGGTAAGCCAAGACATGTAAAAGGAATTACCGTAGAAGGCAATCAAAGAAGTTAAGGGAACCGGGGAAGGGATAAATTGGCGATGGTGGTGATGGGGGTTCCACGAAGGAAAAGGGGAGGAAAGTACTTAGTATATACAAGAAAAATGTTGGATTAAAATTTTCTCTTTTTTATACAAAGTTTTTAATTTTGCAGCCTACATAGCAAAATCAATTTATATCCAATAAAAATCAATATTTTCATCACGTGTTTTAAATATGATATTATATAAATAAATAAATAAATAAATAAAACTTTAAACAAATTTAAATAATTTTTAACATAATAAAACAAAGAACACATATTATATAATATAAATAATTTAATAAAAGCAAACAAATACATATATAATAACCACATGAATATCACATTTTATTGGTTTTCAAATAAATAAATGCATAAACATCATTTTAAGTGTTCTTTTAAATAGCAAACAATCACATGATATATATTGGTTTCTTAATAACCATAATACAGAGAATGACATAAAAAAATACAAATTAAGAAACTCTATAAATATAAAAGATGGAGAAGAAAATTTATAATAACAAAACTCCACATAGATCACACTTAATCATAATCTGATTGTTGCCAGGAAACAAAAAATAAAAACTTGAATAAATACAACAACATTAGTAAAACAAAATTACGCAAAATAAAAAGACACATAAAAGGAACACACACAAAACATAAATAACTTCCAAAAATAGATATGATGAAGAACCATAGTCAATAAAATATAATAGAGAAGAAATTTGTGAACAAAACATTCGTCAACAGCATATAACTCATACAAATCATAAATTAAGATGTAATATTTGTTACCCGGTGTGATAACCAGATTCTGGTTATTACCCAAGGTAATTAATATGTGATTATTTGTTATATGCTTACATAATAACATGATAAATTGATTATGTGGGAATGTGAATATATATGTATGCATAGGAAATATATGTATTATATGCATGCATGTTTATGGTTATGCATGTGTGAATAAGTGCATAAATATGAAATACATGTGTGTATGGGTGATGAGTATAGCCATGCATACAAAAAGAGGCGGCTTAGCCGCCATTTCCTTCTTATAGAAAGGTATAAAAGGGAGGCTTAATCTCCCATATATTCTTCTGGCTATTTTTGGAAAAATCGTACGATTTAAAGAGAGAGATTGATCGGATTGCTTATTTTTCTGAATTCCTGAAGTTGATTTTCAAAAGCATTTCATAAGGTGAGTAGTCTAATGCTTTTAAAATATTTCAAATTGTAGGATTGAGGTTTGAATTAGTTATTTGTCAATTGATAAAATTGATCGGATATTGTTAAAACGGTTGTTATCCGGACTTAGATAAACCGGATGTGCCTTAGGCGATTTATGTATAAACTGCTCAAGTGATAAGCGGTTTAGCTTTAAACCGGACATGTCTCGACCGGTTTAAGGATTGAGCGATTTATGAACTTTGATGTTATGATTAAGTGTTTCAAACGGAGAAGTATTAATACGACCATGAGTTGACCGAATTATTTTTAAATCGATCGATGGGGAATAGTGTTGTCCGGACTTGTTATCCGGACAAAAGTGTTGGAAATCTTTTTTTAAAGAGATAAATCGGACAAAGCTATGTGAAAGGTTGTCCGGATTTGTTATCCGGACAAGGTTGGTCGGATTACTTGTTATCTTATCAAAACATGATTCTTTTGAAACAAATGGGAATTTTGACAAAATGAATTTGAACTGATAATAATTCTATTGACTGCGGTCTATTCTAAAATGGAATTATTTCATGAAAGATTTTGATGAGGAAATAAGGGAGGCATATCAAGGAGAGGTGTATCATGGGATAAGGGTGGCATATCAAGGAGAGGTGTACATTTGGATATAAGGGTGACATTTGTATGTGTGTGTTTCGTAATATAACTCTTACTGTTATATCCCTTAAGATTACCGTGGTCTGGAATCTTTATTTCTTTGTGATTTAAAGGTTTAGTATCAGGGTTCTTATTGGAAATCATAGTCTGGATGTTATTGAAGAGGAGATAACAGGTTTGGCCTGAAACTTTGATAAAACCTTATTTAAGAGGTTTAAAAGTGGCGTTTTATAATTGATTAGTGTAAACCTGTTTTGTTTTGATATATTGTTTTCAAGCAGAGAATATTGGCTTGAAAAGTGAAAGGTACCAATATTATGTTCGTACTTGTTCATATATTTGTAATATATATGAAAAGTTGTTTTACTTAAAAGTTTTGGTGATTAATACCCTGAAATAGCATAAATATGATAACTCACTAGACCTTTCGGTCTAACCCTCGTTTTGTGATTTTAAATATGTATTGCAGGAAGTGCCAACGGTAAGGGGAAGGGAAAAATGTAATATTTCCCTATGTGATTATCTGCGTGAAGATTTATTGATGACATGTATAGTTTTGATAGATGAATCTGGTTTTGTGCAAGAATTGTATTTTGAATTTTTGGACCATGTATTTTGTACTAGTAAATTCTTGTACTAAGGGACCAATGTAATGTATAAACATGTATTTCTTTTATATGAAATATATGTTACATGCAATACGCGGAATGGGGTGTTACACCCGGAAAAGTTTATAGAGGAATAACATTCGGTATGGACAATAAAAACATTATATGTAATTTCTAATAATAAAAATTACAATATATAATGCATAGAAAAACAAATGTAATAATATATATATAATAACATAGAATAAAAAAACACTAAGTAACCCACACAAATCATAAAAATAAAATGTAACAATTCTTACATGGATTTTATGGAGAAAGAACAACGATATCGACGATAAAAGGTTCTACAAAAAAAATACAACACATCAATAACAACAAATAGCTTACATAAAAACATAAAATAAACAATAAAGAATGTAGCTTCCATCTTGATTAGACATTCGATTGTGTAGTTTGCAATATGATGGAGAAATTAGTAAAACAAAAAAAACGTTAAATGAGATATAATATATAGATGAGATAAAAAAAACGGAATAGAAAAATGAAAGGTCTATAAAATTTATGGGTTAATGAAAAACAGTTAATATAACCAACAAAATAAATCTAAAAAAATCTAAAAATTTGAAGAAAAAAAAAAGAATTAAAAAATAATTTTTCCACAAAATGTCATATAAGAAACTTCATATTTTACTTTTAAATTTATATAAATAAAGAAGCAAAATGTTCAATTAAGAACATCTCTGGCTTGGAAAATTTTGTAATCATTTTGGAGAAAATAATGAAATACACAATTTTAATTCACGGATAGAAAAGTATTTAATTTATTTAACATTTTATAAATTCAAAACGATGAGAAAATCTCTTTTAAAAATCATCTTGTGACAACGTGTCACACAATTTATTGTAAGTTTATTTTAATTAGTAGATGGAAAGATGAAAAAGGTATAATGAATATCCCTAGGAAGTTATATAATGTGAAAGTTAAAGCGAATTAAGTTGGAAGTGAAATTATCAAAGAAGCATTTTTATAATACATATTTATCATTTAGGAGTAGAATAATCTATAATTTATTTAATATTATAAAAACATTGACAAATCATGAAGGAGCACATAGAAGGTTTGGAGGTTTCACCTCCAATAATGAAGATGAAAATGTTGGAGATTAAACTTTTTAAAATTACCAAAACAACTTTATGCTAATGAATTGCATGTTCTAAAAATAGGGATGAAAAAGTCTTTTATATATCAAATATTTTAAAAAATTAAAAATAAAGAAAGATAGGCTTCTAATGTTTAGAGGATAACATCTCATCCGTCGATTTCATTGTTTAATTTTATGAAATTTTTTCATGAAATTGTTAATCTTGTTAAATTGTTTTATATAATATTTTTTTTTTTATGAAGTTGTTTCATATATGATTATGAAATTATTTCATATAATACTTAATGAAATTTTAATGAAACTGTTTCATGTATTTCTCTAAAATTAAAATAACGAAGATGATAATATCCATGATTAACATCATCCACAATAAAAATTGATTAATCAACCTCTCATAATTACAAAAAAATGAATAAAATGAAAAATTAAGATTGGTTGAATGAGATTTGTACGGTATGTACAAATGACGTGGTTTGCAAAGTAAACCTCTCTCTCTCTCTCTCTATCTCTATATATATATATATATATATATATATATATATATATATAAGTTGATGATTATCAATCACGTTATAAACATTTATCGTCAACGGAGTTTAAATTCGATTTTTTATCATATCTTGTAATCACAAAATATCAAAACTTTATTCGAATTTATATGATTCAATCATAAATACAATCATGTCCTATGTTAACAACAAATCCAACAATATTGAAAAGAAGAAATATGTAATAACAAATCACATTTTCTAAATAATATAGTTTTTACATACCTTTTTAAAAAAAATAAGTTTTTTTCAACTCTCATTTCTTCATTCATCACCAAAGAATTTCTATCATTTGAAAAAATCTTGAAGTAGTCAAAATTTAACGTAATTATCAACCACATATAAATAGTTATTGTTAATGGAGCTTAAGTTTGAAAAAGAATTGTCATATCATGTGATCACAAAATATCGAAATTTTATTCGAATGTATATGATTCGATCGTAAACACAATCATATTATGATAACAACAAATCCAACAATATTGAAAAAGAAATATGTAATAATAAATAGTATTTTTAATGAATATAATTTCTACATATCTTTTAACATCTTTGAAGTTTTCTTCTACGCTCACTTTCTTCATCCCTCACCAAATGAATTTCTAAGATTTCATTTTGTTTATTTTTGAAACTTTGAAAAACAAATTTCTTTAAGAAATAAAAAGGAAGAGCAAATCAAGAGTTGGAGGTTAAACCTGAGTAGACAAAATTACATAATAAAGCTCGGGTTAATAATGAACTATACATTTTTCATACCGGGACGGAAAAATCTTTAACAAATTCAACATTTAAAAAAATTGAAAAATTGAAATAAAAAGTGTCTCTAAAACAATATTGCAAACCAAATCTCTCTAAAACAATATTGCAAACCAAACGGACCCTAAATATTAAAAAGTGTCACCTCATTATATAGGGGAGGATTCAAACGAGAACACTTTCATTTTATGAGAACGTGAGAACACATTTTTACTATAAACAATCACATGTAATATTGTTATTTCATCACATATGATACACATGTGATACTAAATCAGAGATGCAAACGATTTACGATGCGATTTTGGTTGCGGGCCAAGTCGCCCTTGCACCATTAAGCCCCCTCACAAGTATTATCACATGTGATAAGTTTGTTGTTGATATAATAGTATAATTCATGAAGACTATCACATGTGATGCTAAATCATAGACGTAGACAATCTTTGGTGCAGCCTAAGTCGTAGAACACGTCGTCCGCACATCACAGGGTCCCCTCACGCATATTATCACATGTGATAAGAACGTTCTTGCGTTCTCGTAAAATGGAGGTGTTCTCGTTTGAACCTCCACCTCTCTCTTTCTCTCTCTCTCTCTCTCTCTCTATATATATATATATATACATATATATATAAATGTGTGTGTGTGTGTGGAGGTTCAAACGAGAACCCCTATGATTTATGAAAATGGGAGAACAACCCAATAAGCTCAAACTTTTTTAATTAATAAATTAACTTATATTAAATATAAATAAATTAATAAAGGCAGTAATGTAATTAAATAATTTTTATAATTTTTAGTTTAATTAATTATAATTATCCATTTTTTTCCTGGATTGATCACGTCCGTTTCCACTCTCTTCTCTTCCCTTGTGATAATTATGTGATTGTGTAACCATAATCTATCGAAACCATGATCAATCGAGTGTAACCATAATCTATCGAAATCATGAGTAATCGTTGTGATAAATGTGTGATTGTCTAACCCTAACCGATCGAAACCATGAACAAATCGAGTGTGCTGTTATGATAGTGATATCACACCCTTATCACACCAAATCGTGTAGTCGATTTCACCCGTAATCGTTGTGATAAATGTGTGATTGAATAATATTAATCCAATGAAAGCATGCTCAAATCGAGTAATTGTGACATATATCTTGAATAAACTGTGTTCTAAGACTTCTTCTTGCTGATCGATTCCTGTTTGTTGTTTGATTTCCAGATTTTACGGCTTCTTGATCTTCGATTTCTCCATGAAATTCTTTCGTTACCTTCTTAATCGATACCTTCTAATAAACGATAACTGTTAAATTAAGTGGATAACTCTAATTTCTAGGATTATAATGTGATCGTGTTTAAAATTGTATGATTTTAATATCCATTATTACCCTTTCGAATCTCAATTTTTTTTTGAATCGTTTTAAATTTCAAAAATCTTTTAATTTTAATTGTTATCATAATATGAGGTTAATAAGTTATTCTCGTGTTCTCGTAAATCACAGGGGTTCTCGTTTGAACCTTTATATATACATACATATATATATATATATAAGTTGGTTATTATACAACCCTTTACATTTGTACAATCAATACAATTCAATTTTAACCGTTCATTTAATTTGATGAATATGTGATTTCATAGAAGTTTTGATTGTTTCATAATATAAAGTATTGATCATAATTAATAAATTTTATTCATCTTTCATAAATATTCAAATCATAATAAATGAACTCTCATCATTTCCATAAATATCTCATTTTATTGGGTTGTATTGATTGTACAAATACGACGGGTTGTATTTAAAACAATCTCTCTATGTGTGTGTATATATATATATATATATATATATTTTAGGGACCGAATCGATAATAAAAAAACAAATGATGACCAAATCCGTAATTTACTACAACTGAGTTTGATAATTCACATGATAAAAACAAAATGAGTAGAATTTGAAAAAACATACCCGTTTCCGATAATATCCTCTCATCCCTATCCCCTTTTTCGGTCTCACTTGATATCCAGCAACAAAAAAGTATCTAAAATGGCTGTTTCCACCACCACCACCACCATCAACGACCTTCCCGACGTCCTCCTTTCCAACATAATCGCCGCCGTCTCCGATGTCCGTACTCGCAACGCCGCCTCTTTGGTCTCTACAAAATGGCTTCTTTTAGAGCGATCCACTCGCACCGCCCTCACCCTACGCGGCAACGCTCGCGATCTCTTGATGTTACCTTCCTGCTTCCGATCCGTCACCCACCTTGATCTTTCCCTCCTTTCTCCATGGGGCCATCCGCTACTCTCCTGCACCGCCACCGCCGCCACCACCACCGATCCCGCCCTCTTTGCCCACCTCCTCCGCCAGTCCTTCCCTAACGTTCAGTCACTCGTCATCTACTCACGAAATCCTTTTGCTCTTCAGCTTTTAGCTCCTCAATGGTCGTCGCTTTCTGAGATCAAGCTAGTCCGGTGGCATCAACGGCCACCGCAGCTACCTCCCGGCGCCGATATCCTTCCGATTTTGGAGAATTGTAGAGATATCAACTCTCTGGATCTCTCCAGTTTCTATTGTTGGACTGATGATATTCCTCCAGCCCTAAAAACTCACCCTCAAATCGCAGCGAAGCTTACGTTTCTCAATCTTCTTAATCCATCTTTTCCTGACGGATTCAAAGCTCAAGAGGTGGAAGAAATCTCTAAAGCTTGTCCGAATCTCAAGAAATTGTTGATAGCTTGTATGTTTGATCCTAGGTACATTGGATTCGTTGGAGACGAAACCCTACTTTCGATTTCAATCAATTGCCCCAAATTATCACTTCTTCATCTCGCAGATCCATTGGCTTTGTTGAACGCTAGAACTGATCCAAACACCCAAGGATTTACACCAGACGACGCGAGCATCACGGTTGCCACATTGATCGAGATGTTCTCTGGACTTCCATTAATGGAGGAGCTCACACTAGATGTTTGTAATAACATCAGGGACACTGCCCCTGCCATGGAGATTCTCAACTCCAGATGCCCCAAATTGAGGTCTCTGAAGCTTGGCAACTTCCATGGCATTTCGATGCCAGTTGAATCGAAATTGGATGGGATTGCTTTGTGTCAAAGGCTCGAATCATTATCGATCAGAAACGTAGCCGACTTGACGGATATGGGTTTGATCGCAATTGCCCGAGGATGTTCGAAATTGGTCAAGTTTGAGATTCAAGGCTGCAAGAACATCACGGTTCGAGGAATGCGGACTTTCGTTTGTTTGCTAAATCGCACTTTGATCGATGTTAAGATCTCGTGTTGTAAGAATTTAGGTGCAGCTTCATCGTTGAAAGCCCTGGAACCTATCCAAGACCGGATCAGGCGGCTTCATATCGATTGCATTTGGGAGAGTTTTGAAGAATCCGAAAATCTTGATGAACTTGAATACAGTTTCGTTCTTGATGAACAAGAAGAAAGTGACGATTTGGGTAACGAGAGGAAAAAACGCAAGCTCGATTTCGATCTGAATGATTCGAGCAACAGGTTTCAAGAAAAGACATGGGAGAAACTCGAGCGTCTATCGCTTTGGTTTTCCGTTGGCGAGTTTTTGACACCGTTATTATCAGCAGGACTAGAAGATTGCCCAAATTTGGAGGAGATTTGCATAAGAGTGGAAGGAGATTGCCGTCATTTGTCAAAACCCAAACAACGGGAATTTGGGTTGCGATCACTCGCTTTGTACCCGAAACTATCGAAGATGCAATTGGATTGCGGCGACACGATTGGGTATGCGCACACGGCCCCGTCGGGCCAGATGGATCTCAGCCTATGGGAACGGTTTTATCTCTTCGGGATCGGGGCTTTGAACCTGGACGAACTCGATTACTGGCCACCACAAGATCGAGACGTTAACCAACGGAGTCTTTCCCTGCCGGCCGCAGGGTTGCTCCAAGAATGTCCAATGTTGCGGAAACTGTTTATCCACGGAACGGCTCATGAGCATTTTCTCATGTTCCTTTTGCGGATACCGAACCTAAGAGACGTTCAGCTCCAAGAAGATTACTATCCTGCCCCCGAGAACGACATGAGTACCGAGATGAGAGCAAACTCATGTAGTCGTTTTGAAGACGCATTGAATAGGCGTCAAATCGACGATTAAAAAGTAGCAAAGAAAATCATGCTTTGTGTATGTCCAAACAATTCACAAGTTTTCATGGCATGATGTTATGTTTCACAAAATGAGCGGGATGTCTTTGAATAATGGGATTTGTTGTAGCCAGTTCTAATAGTAATAACTGGATTTTATACACAAGTCAGAAAGTTGAGCCGAAAAACATATTGTAGCACCTCTACTAAGTCTTTTTGTTCAGTTTTCCAATCTATTATATTATAGAATAGAAGTAGTAGTTATGGTGATCAACAAAGGGAGTATTCGCAGTCCAGTAAGCGAGTCAGGATGTCCTCGCAGCTTGGTCGCTCGTGCGGTTCTGCCCAGCAATCTGCATGAATCAACTTACCATAAGTTACCGATTCTACTAACAATCAAGTCCTAAAAACATTTCAACACGAACCAGCAATTAGCCTGCCGAGTGGGCCTTCGGGGATCTCCAACCGTGAACCTTCATTTGCAACAGAATACACGACCTGCATAATATATGATTGTGGTCGAATTTCATAAACAACTTGTTCAGAAATACCGTAATGAAACAATCATCTAAAAGCTATTAGTGAAAACCCAAGTGTTTCAGGATTAGTGAAAACTGCTCAGCTTCTGTATTCACAAAAATATCCATGAAAAAAGAACTTACCCGCTCAGGTGGCAAACCTTCCCATGGCCTATTCAGAGTGCACAACTCCCACATTATGACTCCAAGGCTGAAAATATCACATTTCTCAGTAAAAGGTTCGTTTCGGATAAGTTCTGGAGCCATCCATTCAGGGGTTCCTGCGGATGAAGTATCTTTCATAGGCGATTCTGTCATCATTCTCGACAGCCCGAAATCACATATCTTTATGGTCCAATGCTTATTCACGAGACAGTTTGCACTTTTTATATCACGATGAGCTATCTTCATCCGGTGAATACACATCAACCCCCTTATCATTTCATTACATGCAGAAAGGGATAACAATGAGATCAAGTCTGCTCACATGTTGGTAGGTATGCAAATTCATATGAAACATGTATCCAAGTCCAGGATGAAGTAGTTTAATGAGTGTGATATAACCCAAAGCTATATGCCACTATGAATGTAAGCGGTTCCTAATATTATACTACTTTATATCCTATAAATTTTATCAACATTTACATCCAGTCCAGATGGTCACAGCATCCTCAAGAAAATGAATCAGCAATATAATCGACTGTGAATGTTTAGGCTACAAATGAATCAATTATCTTGAAGGAAAAAAACCTGGAATATATGATACATCTAAACCCTAAACCCCATTGGCCTAGATCGCATGAAATCCAAGTAAAACCCTAATAAGTACCACAAATACAAACCAGTTTGTGGCCCTATGATGCCAACTAAAATAGGTTATCATTCATTAATGCTAACCTGTTAGCAGCACTCTATTTGAACACAATGTATCTCGGGGCAACAATCATTAGGGTCGTGTACAAATCTTAATGTACACCACGGTTTCAAGTTTTTCCATAGGCAATAACTATTAGAGCTACTGAACAGAACAACTTGAATGGCCAAAAAGACCATAAAAAATCGAAATTAATGTCAGAATCAAAACTAATCCATCTGAACCCCATTTCAATAGACATGTAGAGTAACAGTATTCCTATGGTAACCATGTTAAAGTTGTATGTTGAATTGCTAAGAGCCTAAGAGTAGAGAATTGGTAATGAAGAATGTGTGCAGCCCAGATGGAGCACATGCAAAGAATATGATGCATCAGAGAGTGAGGCGCCTATCTAATATCGTATGAAGATGGCCCCCAACTCTCAGAAGTTATGCGAAAGTCCAATTTTATTGCAATTGCAAAAATATTCCATCTTTCATAATGTGCAAAATTGACCAACCTGCAGATATCACGAAGCATTTTTAGTCTTCTTCGCCAGCTGAGTTTCTTCTTCTGACCACTTAAGTGGATCAAGTAATACAATGATCCCATCTCCATATACTCGGTAATCATCGATAAGCGTGGAGGCCTTGTGCAGGCACCAAGAAACAGTATAACTGAAATAAAGTCATCAATTGAATTAGTACAATGCCATTGCAAAATACATACTTGAATACTTTACTAGTCGGGTTGTTTTCACTTCCTATGTCACATTAAGTTGACGAACAGAAGGAAACGTGAATTTGGTGTTTAAGCAACTGTAGCCGCATGCTAATAAGCATCTTAAACACAAACAGTTATACCTGCTTTGTTAAGGCTTTTCTTGTAGTTAAGAGTCAGAAGTTAACTTTATTTGGTGGAGTAATTTATGATTTCTGAACAACTATCCTTCTATTCAATACATTAAATAAAAAATATACTAAAATGAAGAAAGGCATACCATTTGGATGTCGGAGGCGACTGTCAAAAACCAAAAGAAATAAATTTGAAGTGCAGTTAGAAGCGTATAAATAAATAAATCTATGACCATCAGAAACATCATCCACTAATAGATTGGTTACCTGAGGATGGATATTTCATTGCAGAAATCTTCCATGTTCTCAGCGGTTAGATCTTGTTCCAGAAAAACTTTTATTGCTACCTCTGTCCCGTTCCAAATGCCACGAAAAACTTCCCCAAAGAATCCTGGAATCGATAATCCAGAACTTGAGAATGGATAGATTCCTTGACACTACTTTAGTGAATAGAGAGGCGCATGAATGGAGTATACCTAAAGAGCTGGTCCTAGATAAGAGTGTTTTAGGACAACATCCATGGTTGGGAAAGGAATGCAAGAGATGTCATACTCCATCTACGTGGAAGGAAAAGAAAAACAGAGAACCTGGTTGACAGTGTTTCTCTGTATACTCCAGAAATTGTGGATCCAACTTAGGAGATTGAACAAACAGATCATGTATATAGTTATGTCCATGCATCTAGGTACTCTGTATGGATTACACACTCACAGAGAATGATAAACACATATATAGCTCATTTAGTGGCAAGGATTAGAATCAGCTCATCGTAATGGTGGGATTTTTTGGACAATGTTTGTTATTTGGAGCTGGTTCTGGGAATGATGAAAAAGGACATTTCCTTGCTGATATAAGATAGCAGACATTTAAAGTTGTGAAAATAATAAGGAATGTAGGGAACACTTAATGTGACAAGGGGTTGAAAGGAATCAGCTGGATTCAAGTCCTAGGACCTTAGTGATCCCAGATCCCCTCAAAATCACAACTGGCATCAGACTAGCTAGGACCAATTAAGGAATTCCGACAAATGCATGCATGGCATAAAGCATCCAGATAGAAGCTTTCAAAAGACAAAAGAGAATAAATATATAGATGAGTACTTACCAATTCCGACTCGAGTGCCAACAGTAAGTTCTGAGAAGTCAATGTTCCATTCTTGATAAGGCAGGAGAGGCTTATTTTGGAACATGGGTGAATCCAGAATTTTGTTCCATGTTGAGACTGTTTCATCAGGAACCATCCCATCTGAAATACCAGGTCTACCAGAAGCTGGATGTCTGAATTCATGAGGAGATGAAGGTAATGACATTGCCTTTTGAGAAGTCACATGCTCCCTCTGAAGAGAATATAAAGATCTTCCATCATGCTGTTCGGTGCGAAAATCAGACTCCTAAAGCACCACACCAAGTTATTAACAATAATAGAATCGAAACATGGTGACCCTTACAATATCAAATAAATTTAGGTAAGCAAACAAGATATGCTCACTTCTAACCTACCCTTGCAGGTAGGCATCATGCAGAGCGCAAAAACTCAAGACCAAGACAGATTACAGTTGCTAGAAAAACTATACAAATTCAAAAGCACAGAAGATATATGTTGCCTTCAAATTGTTTAGGTGTATGCTTTCGCCAATACATGGCAATGGAAGTTTACAAATCATTCAATGACATCTGCAATATTACTACTTAATTTTGGTACATACAGTTGTAAATAGTTGATGGTAAATTGCTCAAACAAATTTTAAGTTTAACTCATAACTGAGTGTTACTTTGAGCAACAACCCTACAAGAGAAATATATACCATGGAGGCAGATTATATCACCAAAAATACACGCACCTGGATTTAACCATATGAAGGTGACAACAACCACAGATTCAAGGACATGAAATCAAGCACAAGAATAATCATGAAAAAAAGTCATATCCTCGGTGATTCTTTGTTAAGGAAGGGTTGAAGTTAGTAGTATTAGTACCCCGTTCCACTACCTAAGAGATAACTAGAGTTTCATTATTCTCCTCTTTATGTTTCCACTATGCAACTGATGACAGTAAGCTTCTGTTATTTTCCTCTTTATGTTTCGCAGCAAATGAGCCACCTTCTGTTCACCTTCAATATTTATTACTACAAAGCCTAAATGTCTAGACAATATCACAGCCTGGGCTTTGATAAAGACAAGAAACCCTACCCCCTCTAATAAAATTCCGCCTCCATAGCAGTAAACAACTGCCCTTCTCAACCTGTTGTGGCCTACAGCAGTAGTGAACTGCAGCCTTTTGCCTCACCTGTCTGAATACCTGCTAGCTTCTGCCACGAACACACTGATTCTTGCCTTCTTATTTGACATCATTGTGCCCTGGCTCCTGACCAACCCCCAACAAACAGAGACCACCTTGGGTCATTCATGCCATTGCATGCCTCCAAGACCTAGAACATGCCCTTTATGGTTTCTATCTGTATCTGCTGTTCCAGCTAATACAACCAGCACCCATTCATGAGCCGTCGACCAGCAACCCAGTCCTACTGTTCTACTTTATGCTTAAACTTCAAAGTTTTTTTAACATTACCAGCAAATATAATCAGATACAGACCTCCTTTACGTGTTCACATCTTTTTGATTGGTCCATTTCTAACCAGGTCTTTATCATAATTTTCTCTGTAATTATGGGCAATATTCAAGAGAAAGTAAACAAAACAAAGAAAGTTGTCAGAGTAGCTCTGCGAAGTATCCCAATCAAACAGAATGGCTCAAAGTTGGTGTAGATGTCCATGTTTATTGAAACTGGCAAAGGTCAATTAAGAAGGCACATAATGTAACCGAGGTGCTTCCAAACCCCTTGATTGTTCTTTCGGGAACCAATGACATTGGTATTAACATGGCATTGTGAAATCTTATAGGTCAAAACCAGAAATGTCCTACCGCCAAGTCACAATCATAGGCAACTGCATCATTCTAATTGTTTATACAAAAGACGTTTTACTCATAGCAAATGTCCCTCAGGGTATAGCCAACCAAAGAGGTTTAGTGGGGAACAATTCCACATCACAATCTCAAACGAATACAAGACTTCTAAAAAAGAACGTATCACAATTCCATAGAATCCCACTTTAGGTAGAGAAAATACTTTATGGACCTCCCACAGCAAGTGGCCTATTTGGATTACCAGTAGACTTGCTACAAATTACCGACAATGAAGATATTTCAAGGGAGCATCTTCATTATGGAGATCACATAACAGGGGACAAAGTTCACCTGCATGAGTTAAATCATTTCTCTCACAAATGGGCAAGACTTCTGTAATTCATAGGCAAAAATCAGCAATTGTCGTCTTATAGGCAAATATGTAGCGAGTAGAACAGCCGGTCATCCATTTATGCAAACTGTTCATAGATCGACCAAAATATTGAGAAGAAACTCCAACGGAAATGCTCAGATTGATTTTATTTTAGGAAGTTGAACATATTAAACCTCTATACTGCAACTTGAATGTTATTGGTATTAATGTTAAACCTCTCTCTCTCTCATTTTTATATACATAATATGCATGTCCGTATCTATATGTATATGTGTATATATGTATATTTTATGTATACATGTATGCATACATACACACACATATGTAGCTATGCATATCTTTATAGATACATGTTATGGATGTTTCTATACATACTAATGCACATCTTATAACAGTAGTAATCGTCAATAAATTACCACCCAAAAGTTAAAAACTGCCACGAATTTACTTATATGGATTCCACAGATTAATGAACCTACTACAAGAGAGACAGAACTTGAATCAATACTGTTATGACAGAAACACATACATCTTTCTTGACGTCTGCACTCTGCAACCTACTATCCACCTGTTCTCTCGATAATCGATTCTGCTTTAATGTTTCATTCATTGCTCGTACAGCCCTGCATGTCATAGGAGAAAGAATTATCATGAATGCTGCCTTCAAGAAAATGTGGTCTCTAAAGCAAGCTTTTTAACCAAAAGGCCATTGTCCTTGCGTCCATGAATAATGGCTAATATCAGTCTAAGGGCCGGTTTGTTAGCAGCTTAATGAACTTAATGGGACTCACAACTTGTTTAGTCAACTACACATGACCCTTTGGTTGTGGCTTAATGATAGAAAGTGACCTATTCAGTAGGCTTCTAAGGGGAAACTTTATGCAGAAAGCCAAGTTTATTCCAAACCTGTCCATCCCAGTTAAAAGAACGCTCATTCCATCTATGAAAGAACCCTCTCAAACAAAAACCTTCGCAATCTATACAAACAGATTAATCCACACACACAGCTTTATCTATACAGGACTTAATGAAAAACCAACCAAACAGCCTCTAAGATAATGCAGACCAAACATGTGTTCCATGAGTCAAAAATCAAGTATTTCATGAATGAAGCAAAACACATAGAGGTGTCTTGTCATCTCATACAGAAATCACATTGTTGGGACAGCTTTGATCCACTTGCAAAAATTCCAACAAACTCACATTGATTTTATTTGTACAGCTTGAATGTTAGATATATATGTTATCTTTCTCACTATTTTCAAGATAGGGGATCATTATGTACTATATCTAGAAAGTGTTTTCCCAATAATACAGTTTTAAACCCTGATATTTACTGATATTAATGTAGTTCTACATACATCCATAGGAACTTGCATACTTCATATGGTGGGGACAACATATATGGATCAAAGAACACGGTGAAATTAATATATGTAGAGAGAGAGAAAGTCAAGTTCATACGAGAACATTAACTAAATAGGAAAATAAGAAAACGGTCGAATCACATGTGATTTTACACCAAAATCACAATGTAAAATCACATTTGATTCACGCAACTTTGGCCACAACCTGAGGTCGTGAGCCACATCGCCTGCACACCTTTAAGTTGACCGTTAGTGTAAAATCACATGTGATTTGGCTGTTTTCATGTTCTTTTATTTAGTTAACGTTCTCGTTTGAACCTCCCTCTATATGTATATATAACACGTACTAAATTAGAACTTCAGAAAATTGATACAAGTGCTATCAAGTGTTATTGTAACAACAATGCATTTCATAGATGGTAGACAAATATTATCATTTGTTAAGTGTTTTTGGTACTAGTATACTTGGTAAGACTTTGAATATTAGACCTGTCAAGGAAATTACCTAAAATAACAAAATAAAAACATCAGAAAAAAGACCAAGAACGATAAAGTGTCTACTATAACAACATATCCCAATTAGAAATTAGAAAATATCAACCTTACGATGTCATCACCGATTTCTGGAGTAATACTAATACTTCTTCTTCGATTTCTACGATGTTCGGATGTTGATGTGCCTTCTGACCTGTAGTATACACATTTAATACACTGGGATTAGTTTGTTGATGTCGGATATTCTTGCTGCAACTTTCTAAAGCATCATGCAAAAAGTATTAGATGCAAACAAAGTACTTCAGATGATATGCAATTGCCAAGAACCAAGACGCTGTACACCAACTTGAAAGCTTTTAAAACCACCTGCTATGTCAGTAGGTGTTGTTTCGATATCATTTGTTGATTTGCCTTATTATTTGAAGTCTTAGAAGGATTGTTGGCTGCAAGTTGTTTGTAAGGGTTCGAACCATGCCAAACAACCAGCAAACGATCCCATAGGTTCCAAAATTACTGGACACAAAATGCAAGTGAATGCCAAACAACAAATACAGAATATCCAGGGTCTAGCAAACAAGTAAATGGCTATCCAAGCATAACATACTAACCACCAGATAACCATAAACTAGCAAATGTAGTCAAGCAAGTAACAAGACACGAGATTTAACGTGGTTCATGCCCATGAGAAGAGAGAAATCACTTGTATTAATATACCAAAAGGAGTACAAAGCAGCATACAGGAGATGATGATCACCAAAACTAGTAGAATGCCAAATGGAGTAGCTCTCCTCACTTTCTCTCTAGCTATGGAGTACACAAGATGTTTTTCTTCTAAAAATTAATCAAAAACCAAAACTAAAAAGGCTTATATATGGAAAAAGAGAGCTAGGAAGACACCAAAATCTGCCCAGAAAATCACCCAAAAAAGGCTCCTGGAGGTCTATGCGACTGTACCACGCAATCGTGGCCAAAATGCCACTATCACGAAAATAGTACCGAGAGTCTAGGCCCCAGATGCAATCTGTCCTATGCGATTGTACCATGCAATTATGGTCAAAATGCCCCTATTCCTATTTTGGTTTTCATAGCATCCAAAACCAACATTGTTTACCTAGACGGCTGTCACCTGTCCCCACTACCATCCTATCACCAACCTCAGCGACTTTTTGTCACCATCATATCCTGCCAAAAAGAACATTTGCAGTGCAATGTTCCAGGGCTACTCTCATCTTGTTTCTACTACCTAAGAACGCATAGTTCTGAGCGAACTTTTCCAACATCTCTTTCACTGTTTTAGCAATCTCTTGCATAGCCTCTAAAGTTTCATCCCCTTTTTGCCTTCTTTAATCTTGTGTGAGGGGATTATTTCTTATTCATCACCATGGTGATTAGTTCACCTTTTCCTTGTCATCACAGATCATTATTCTTCACTGGCAAGAAAGTACTACATACAACTCAATCTCAGGTACTGTCCCGCTAGTTGAGGGGCGTGCTTGATGTTGGGAGTCCAATACTAGGGCGTATTTTTTGTTGGTTTTATAAAATTTCCCATACCCTCCTCCTTCCATAGTCACCAAAACCACCTCAAGTCACTAGCATCAAGAAGAATGAAATCTCAATTTTTCCAGCCATGTTTTCATTCATCGCATGTTGGACCATGAAACAGTTATTGCTTCCAATTTCAATAAAACCCTAATTCCAAGTATTTGCATGTTGTTCAACTTTTTACTCTTTAAGAAAACTCGGTGAAGTTTAATGACCCTTGTAACATATGGAGTCAGATTGCATGATTGTATTACCGAGCAATGTGGGAAAATATACATCCAAGATTCACAGATGGGCCAACTGCAATACTAAATATAGACAGGATATTTTTCATCTCTGAAGCTCCTGATGTCTCCAAAAGCAAACATGATGAAATAGTTTGCGGATTGCAAGAAGCCAACCACCTTCAAACAAACAAAATAACAATCTACTCAATTTGTTTTGCACACATAAAAATATTATTCTTAGATATGAGCATAGGTGCCTCATTTTTGCAAAACATCTCCATCAAATAATATGTAGAATCATCCAACTAGTTAACTACACCAAAACCCATGTTTACTCAGAGCTGGAACTTGAAGAAAAAACAGAACATTGTGTTTCTCGCACTTCCAGGATATAGAGATTACTTGCAGCAAAGACCCAATACCAGCTCATAGATCTCCCCAACATATAGACATCCTACATGACTACATTCAAAGAGCATGTGCAAGTTAAGTGTCCCTTTGATCGGTATATGAAAGGATATTTCATGGAATATCACCTACATATGGACAGCTCAATATCTTCACTAGCAGAAGGGGAATATATAACCTATCTCACCATACACTAAAAGGCAGTACCATGGCTAGTGATGTAAGATGGATCAGTTTTCCTATAGTTTCTAGTAACTTGATGGACCATCTAGTAGTCACCAAGATGTTAATACATCTTGTCATGAGGATTGATGTAATATTTTGTAACTTGATTATCGAACTTGGTAATCTCTACCATGATATTAGGAGATACTTTAGTCAATATATAAAGTTGTCCTTACATGACCTAACCACCTTAATTCATAAGAAGAAATAGGGGTTCAAAAATCTCTTATCTGAAATTCCCTCTGAATCATCCCAGATAACTACAATACACAGAAATGATAATAATTCCTATTTTAATGTGTTTACGTTAATGAATACTCAAAAGCATCAGACATCATCCAGAATTTCTCTAGAGCATGAAGATACCAAGAGTCCAGAATTTCTCTGGAGCATAAAGATACCAACAGAAACAAACTCAAGAACATGCTTAAGTTTAAACATAGACTTCCACAACTGATGAAAACTAAAATGTCACCCCATAAAACATTCTTCTCAAAATAACGTTAGGAGGTGCGCTATGCCTAACAAGCCAATGAAGAATAGCTCACTAGAAGTCTGAGAGTAGCATTTAGCTACCAGCCTCTCTTTCAACCTGGCAAAAGATCTGACTGTGATGATTCTTAAGCATTCACACACCTACACCTAATAGAATCCTCTCTAGAAAGAAGATCAACAAGATCTCAAAAGCATCAAGATGAGCTAGGAGTCTAGGACCTTAAAATCATTACAATGAAAATAATGACTATCCACAACTTGGACAAAAAGCACACTGACCAAAATACATATTGGCGTAAGACAACATGATAAAATGGGTCATTACAATTCCTTCATAATCTTGCAGACACAAGTATGCTTTTTTCCATGTATGTACACAAGCTCCTTTAGCATTCCAAAGCATGGTGTGCTACATAACAAGATAATAGATTTTTCATTGTGCTTCCTTGATCATAACTAGGCATCTCATTAACTTTACAAGTTTATAATGTTTTCAATAAAGGATTAAGTGAAAGCTTGCATACAGGCCTTGTGTAATGCGCTTCAATTTCCATATAACCTGCTTAACACGCATGAAGCCATATTGAAGACGAGTACAAAAATTAAACATGATTAAGATAAGTGAAGACAACTTCTTTTACTTGTTAGTTTGTACATCCGTATATATGTTAAAAGAGCTGCCCTTCATGAATTGTCTTTCTTTCTTGAAAAGGTCCTCATGAGCAATTATTTTGCCACTGGAGCATTGTCAAAACAGTAGACACCAGATTAGCAGCTCATGGAAGATTTCCCTAACCAATTTTAAGTCCACTAGCTAAACTTCACTTAAACCCGACTTCATATAAATTGATCAAATCTTGCACATAGAAGTTTTTAATTTGAGTTGACATATTGGAGGTTCAAATCTGGACCAAATTCCATCCCTTGATTTCAGTAATATTACCATGCATATAAGTCTCTGATGTCTACCAAGTAGCCATTTTACAGAAAAACAAAGTAGAATAGATACATTTTAAGACAAACAAAAATTTGTGACTTAATGAATTAAAGTTCTGAACCAGTATGTTTTCTATGTAGAGCAAGGGACTTATGGTAATACTTTCAGCAACAAAGAGCATGAAAATATTTCCATGGGATGTTGGTAATTCTCTCTTAGTAATATGTGTCTACGAATACCCACAACAACACTAGAGGAGAAGCAAGTCTTAGAGAAACAAAACAAAACTTCTTTGTTATAGTGGTAAGACTCTTAAACTATGCATTTACAGTTGCACTTAGTAAGCAAAGGCATAACAGCAGGTAATTCTTCCTTAGTAATATGTCTAGAAATATCCTTAACAACACTTGAGGACAATAGTCTTAGAGGACCTGTGGTGTGTTATAGCGGTAAGTCACACCATGCATTTAAGGTTGCACTTGGTAGGCAAAGAAATAACAGAAAAATGCACCAATGATGTTAGTAAACATATAAGAAAAAATGTCAAATCATACATAGTAAGATGTGCATTTCACATAAGCTTCAATAATGCAGAAAGCAGATATAGAAGTTGTAAGAACCTTGAAGGACCAACGTCATCGGGATAGTCTCTAAATGATCTCCTATCACCACTAAGCATAGACCGGCCGCGAGCTCGAAAGGAAGGATGCTCTGGACTGCAATATCGCAAAAGGCTTACTAAGATTTTATAATCAGCGTAAACTAGAAAAGCAAGTAAACACACTGCTTACTTATCAAACTTAAACAAGTAAACTTGTGTCATTTGGGTTTCACCTTGAAACTCTTTGGACATCCTTCACTAACGGACATTGCCTGTATGTTTTACTTTAAAGCACACATGAGCATATGCACTTGTGATTATTCAGTAACCGTTATATCTACCGCTTTCTAAAGATTATTGTTGTAAATGGACAACTTCAGCAGTTAGGTTGCCCTCTATCTTTATGCTGTATGATTTTTTTTAACATTCCTTTAAAACCCAAACAGATTAGTTCCGCTAAAGGTAGGCTTTAAAAATATCTACTAGATTATCCACTCTTATGTTTTTCTTTTGAAAAGGAAAGTAATATGCTAAGCTCATGGGATCTGTTTGTTATGCAAGCTTAATTTCCTATACTGGCAAGTATGGTTGGTAAGTTCAACTTTCTAGCTGCCTCAGTCTAGGATAGACTCCCACTTGGTGTTTGATAGCCGACTATTGACACCTCAAGCTTATCGAGGATGCACCATGTATGCAATAAGTGCCTTGTCTCCTCAGATCAACTTTTGGCACAGATGTGCTGTGTATTTGAGAAGTGCAACAAGGTTTAGTCGTGCAAGCATAAATCACTATCATAAATCATAATAAAATGGACAGCAACAGGAATTCTATAGAGAATGATAAGACGAACCAACCACAATGAACTCCCACAATAACTGCATTAGTGCACTCCCTTATCTTCGGTCAACTCTTGTATAACCTATTATTCAAGTCCACTACTCACATTGATTATCCCCCCCAACCCCCCATTAGTCTATGTGGAAATGAATAAACCATCAAAAGTAACGCTTTATGTTTCCTTCGACTTGTACCACTGTAAGCTTCTCTCAGTTATCTAAATATCTTATTCTAACGATCCTTCTATGGTAACCTTACCTATATCTTGCCATTATACTAAAGATCTAAAGCAGGTGCATGTTGTCTCTTTGCAACCCAATACTCAAACTAGTAAAAGCAACAAATCTCGCAGCAAAATCATGGACTGCAACTTTATTGAGATGTCATATTATTAACTCATTTGTAATTCAATTTCGAATAGGAAGCATATTGCTTAAAAACAAATTAATTTGAAGATTTTGTAGAAGTTCTTGTCTTTTGTATAATCAAGAAATAAAACGCCTTCAATAATATAGTAAGTTAGTAACACAACTCTCCTTAGGTTCATTGTTTAGTTACTGTGAGAATGGTAAACTATGCGAACTACTTTGCAGCAGAATGAAAGAAAATCCCAGGTGTCCATCCGAAATGCGACAACGTTATACTATATGAAGTTGCAAATACTTATATCAACAAAAGGTTCTTAAAATCACATAACACAAAACCATATAGCATATAGCATGAGAACTGAGGAAAACCTTGAACTTGCAGTCCTTGGTTCACTAATCACCTTCCTCCGGCTTCTTCGCCAAAACGTAGCAGCAATATCTGGTTCACTATGAGATAAACTGATGTATAGAAAAGAATAAGAACTATAAAATACAACCTAGAACAATTCATCAAACCCAAGTATGATGGTAAAGATGATAAAGAAAATACAATAAGAACAACATCAACACATGTCATCGTAGAATGCAATCGCCGGTCAGTAGTTGTGTGATTAGGCTGGTTCATACTTTCTCAAAATGTGTTGGTTGTCTCAGTATTTAATAAAAAAAATTGGTGCTTCAAAAGACAAATAAATGCAGTCCCCAGTCAGAGAACATTTGCTAAGATTAGATCAGAGTACCTCCATTTTCCATCAATGGAAGATGAAGAACGCATCATTTTATTCCTCAATGAAGGTCCAGGCGCATTCAAAGATGACTCCAGTCTCCTCTGGTAAAGTAGATTGTCATCTTTCTCAGAACTGCAGTATTGTCTCCAGATAAATAAATAACCTTGCTAATTTCAGCAGCAGCAGAATAGAAAAATACTGTGAATACACATACATACTAAAAGAACCTAACCTCTCATTGTCCATCCTCTCTGAAAAACCATATAAAGGGCTGTTTGGTTCTAACGGTGAATCACATGAGTCATTTTCAGCAGAATCACTTTCTCCCGCTCCAGAAATATGGGTCATAAAAATCGCCTTCGTTGATCGGGGTATGAGTTGACCCGGAAATCGCATAAGATCAACCAGTAGTTCTACAGAATTCAAAACAACTACTACAGACATATGCTTATATGAATCAACACACTCACCAACTCCTTCATTAGGTAACCCCTGGAAAAACAAACATGAAGTTTATGTGTGGAAATTGAACCGCATAACTTTCAAAATGCTACATCTTGTTCGTCATCATATGCCACAAAGTATTAACTGAACATCAAATTAGTCATGGGAGTAGATAATATAATACATACACAAGTCAGGGTATTTTGGTCTAATGAATTTTAGTGCTTACCACTACCAGTCTACTTTCGAAACCTACAGTATCAGCAAGGACTTTAAACAGTATTGCTCGAGGACGGCATGAACCATTTTTAATATGCCCCAGCAACTGAGCACCTCGACTGCCAGGAACATGAGAAACATCCTCGACTGTAGCTTTAATTGGGCTATCAAACTGTGGCCGCTTATAGAAATCTGAGACCTGTGGATGAAATTCCATGCATCGGATAATGAAAACCATGCATCTTTGTAAACCACAAACTAAGCTTTCATATATATAATACAAATAGGAGGCCAGGGAGTTATGATAACTATAATCACCATGACATCCAGACTATGTAAGGCTACACTTTCCAGAATGGTGAATCGTGCGCATGCCATTCCCAACACTGTGACAGTTCACCAATGTGCCAGTGCCCATGGCATGTCCAAAAAGTTAGTGCATCTCCAACAGATTCTCCATAATAGAGAATCAAAATTCAAAATCTCTATAAAATGTGCATTCAACTCCAACAGCTTCTCCATTTTTAGAGATTACACTATTAATTATATTATTAAAATAATCCACACATTTAATTAAATATTATTTCTCTTTCCTAAACATTTAATTTCAAGGTTTCTTATGGGTGGAATACGATAAAAAATTGTTTCTCTCATGGTAATCATTTTGTTCTACAAATTTGGAGAATTTCACATTCTCTCGTACTTCCTCCATTTTGGAGAATCTGTTGGAGCAAAAAGTTCCCCCAAGTCCCCATTTTGGAGAATCGTTTGAAGATGCTTTAAGAACCAATGTTTCCTTCTGTCTGGAGCCCAGACATATTGTGGATGTGTACAAAACATCCTCGACACTTCAAAGGTTAACATTTAAAACAAATTTCTGCATGATAGATAATAGACGTAAATACTACTCCCACCTATCCATGAAAACTATATACTTCCTATTTTTGGATACAAACATAATATTTCTCAAAATCAAATTAAATAGGAATTGTTCGTTACATTTCCACACCTTCTCTGGATGGTGTGTCTTATACAGGTAATGCAGTTCCAAAAAAATCAAAACCACACAGATTTATCCGATATTTGAAATTGAAAAGTGGTTTTTTGACTTTCAAAAGTCAGATCAGGGCACTTATCATGGAACAGGAGTAATATGTGTAATCAAGATGTAATAAAGGTTGATTCTATGTTAAACCTTTTTCAAAAGACTCTCAAGCCTTTTGTTTAGTTTTGTACAATGTACTAAGGACCGGACTAGCCATTTTAACTTGGTTAAAACAAAGCCTGTCTAGTAGTCACTAAGACCTGGATTGTTTTGATTTAACTACTGCTTAGGCCCTCCTGTTCAGCTGGAGTAACAGGCAAGACAACCATTAAAACAGTTGCCAATCTTAAGTTTCAGGGCTAACAGTGCTGGTGGAAGTAATTGGTCAACTTTCTTTAGGAAGAGCACAAGCACTGTCATCAAGAAGAATAAAAGGACCTTCATTGAGCATGTAACCTAAAGCTTACAGGAGTGACATCAGATTAGTAATACAGCATTCTGCCATTGGCATCTAATATCCAACTAAGCTTGTCTAAAAGTGTAAACTTCTATTCACCTCACTAGTTATATCACTGGCATGACTATTGTTATTGTTAAAAATGAAAGCTAAGCACATGTGCCCAATTATTTCGAGGATCATTCCAGGAACAAAAATATAAGACTACCCTTGTTGATTTATATTCTATTACAATCTCAGTGTCATGCAGCTCTCTTTCACAAATCCTGGTTATGGCAAAAGAAAGTACAGGCATCAAAATGTCTAAGATATGCTTAGTGTAGTCTTCAGAACTCTAGCATAATGTGCTCTGATTGGAGGAAAGTTTAGTATCTCTTAGGGGGACATGTATAATGAAAACAACCGCATTAATTAGTGTTATAAGCGTTGAGAACCTACAAGCTGCAATTATTTCTCTATTAGTCATCCAGTGTTTCATACCCTTACAAGTATAGAGGTGGTCGTCATTCCCTTCATCTTGCACAATACAGCAGTATTGCAGCATCAGCTCGTATAATGCTACCCCCACCCCCCCAATCCATAGAACAAAGTCAACAAACTTCACACATTAAGATGATTAAACGGGAGTATCTTTCACGCTGATGTTGATGTTTGTATTACAATAGATTACACTATATACATTGCTTGTGGGACCCTTTGAGGTCCTACTCATTTCTCATCATGCACATCAAGAAAAATGTAGGAGAAATTTTCTAGATAGAAATACAGCAGTTAATGAGCAACCTCCTTGTGAAGATAGAGGGCCACTTGCAAGCGGTAACAGCTTTTATACAATTACAATAATTTTCATCAAAACAATTCAATCTATAAATATATAACTACTACAATTCAATCAATTAAAAGTGCATGGTAAGTCAAAATCCAAAACTCACCAATCCAGCAATCTTTTTGATAATTGCCGCAGGATTTGAGTTCAAACCTTTCACTAGTGTGGCAATGAGTTGCTTTAGCATGGAAAGCTTCTTATCTTTTTGGGCATCAACAAGTATTATATCGGCTTTCACACCCTCAAGCTCCAAATCATGAAGCTCCTCCAAGGTGGGAATATCATCAAAAAGGTCCTTGAGCCTCTTATCCTGTACAGATTATACATTAATAAATATAAAGTAGCTTCATCTAGAAGAACTTCCATTATTTTGACAAAAGTCTAGATATAATTACTGATGTTCATGCATGATTTATACTTGATGGTACTTCCTATATCAGCAGAATTGGAGCTTGCAATTGATGCTTCCTAGCTAAAGTCTTACAGCTCAAAGAACTCCAAATATGCCAGAAATAGTTGTGTGTCACATGAAAGTATTGTGTCTGCTTTAGTGAGAAAAGAAAAGAACGCAGGCGGGACACATGAAATAAAGAGTTTTGACTTTTGAGAACAGATGTCCTAGTGACAACTGTATCTCACCCACCCTGTCTTGGCATGGAGCCTCGTCCCAACACATTTAAGCGATTGAATAAAAGGGGCTGTGATAGAAGAGTAGAGAAGACTTCAAAGACAGCCTTTCTTAGCTCAATTCTCTCCCTCTCCTATATATGTATAAGCATATATGTAAATAAACACAAATCAAGAAATGGGAGATGAGAAATTTCACACATTCATAATTTCTAGTAACCTATATATAGCGTTCTGAAACACCTTCTTTTAAAAACATCATATTATGCAGTCTATCACTCCCTCCCCTTCTCTCCCTTCGTCTCTCTCACCCCCTACCCCCAAGGTCAAACTATCTCCTCTACCTCTCCTCTTTAAAAAAATGCAGAAAGCTAGGACAAGCAGTGGGATGATAAACAAGATAATCTTGGAAGCATTCAATGCCTAATCTTTTCTGTCATCAGCTCTGTCATTGCATGAGCATGTAGAAATATGATGTTCCTAATCAAGATTCAGATCCATCAGTTGAAATAGACAAAAAGGACATCAAATTTGCACCATCCCCACCAATTTACAGTCGTTCATGATTCAATGGAACACTATGGAATCACCAACAGAAGAAAACTGTGATTCATTTCTGGATCATGCCTTCTAACGGAAATAAATAGAGCAAGAAATGATACATTCTTCAATGGAAACTACAAATGTTGAATCGATGTTTTTGAGATCACATCAAAATTTTCAAATGGAGACTATATGTGTTGGTGGTTTTAAAGCTTTCAACATCGTATTAGGGCAACCACTCAACAGTTGCACTATAAAGAAAAGTTTATCAAAAAGATCAAATACAAAGAAGTTATTGTCATTTTAAGGGTTTACCTATCTAACCAGTATGAACTTTAGAAATCTAGTCAAACTTTATCTCATATTCAAATAGGGTCCTTGTATTCCCTTCACGGAATTCCAAAGGATGGATCTGCAACTGGTTACCGGACAAGAGATGCACAGTTCACTATTATCAATGTAAACAATTAATGGTGAAAAACAGTTTGAAATAGATTTGTAAAAAAACCACAGTTTGTCATGCAAAGGGTCTCATTATGTGTTTCTTATTCCACATTAGCTCAACTCCTTCACAATGACCATATCATGCATGCTTCAGCTTTAAGTTAACATGCCTATGAAATTTCTGGTGTAACTTCCACTTACTAGAAGCTAGTAAATGTGTATACCAAAATAAACATTTTTGTGAGCACAATGGTATTGAATTAGTAAGCATAGATCCATAAGAGGTTCTGATAGTAGCAACTCAGTGAAACTTGCAAATTCTAAGTGCTTACATGAATGACTGAGTAGAAACCATTTGGAATAGGTTCAGAAAGCACTCCAGTGCTCCAGAGGATTTGTGATGCTGATTGAGATTGAGATAGAAACCTGTCATATGTACTGCTGCTCATAGATCTTCTATGATTTAGAGTTTCTTTCTTTGAGTCCAACGAAACAGACCCAAATTTATCAACGAACTCTGAAGGCCACCATGTATTACTAGAAGGCCCATGCTCTGAAGTCCCTAATTCATCTCGTGTCTCTTCTGTATCCATCTATAAATGAATCACATTACCAATTTATCACTGCTTATTTCAAAACGACCTTCTTAGCTCCATATTCAAATAGCAGCTCCATTTACTAACATAATTCCTTCATTTAGGTCCCATATTCTGGTAGTCAGGTGACCTGCAAGATGAAACCAGGGGTTTAACCTTGCATCAATTTCACTAAAGTGAATAATATAAGTTGAAAACAGAAGTAATTGTGATATATAGAAAATCCAATCAACAGTTGACAGCAGTATGATAAAGAAAATACGATGAAGAATTTGCAATTTATTGCAACACTTTGCTATTTTTTAAGTCATAGTTGTGTAACAGAACTGGAAAAACCAAGGTGAGATGCAAACGCACATTGAGAATTGACAGAAACAAGATACAGTCTGCACAAGAACCGACTGTGCTACACCATAATACCATATCACATAGCAAGGGCGGTTAAAAAAGAAAAAATTTAATGAGAGAGATGACGATGAATCTTCTTTAATCTTCAGATCCTTACTCAGAAGTACAACCTTATATGTGATCAAAATAAAACACCATAATGATCTAAACTTACAAGGCAGGGGTAAAAGATCAAACTTTGATGGATTTACAATGCATAAATCTCTCATTTGTGAAGCAGATCATGAGTGTGTTCCGCCTACATTAATTCTTCAAGGGCGTTAATACAAGAGGCTTGGCAATTCAAGTGAAAGTTGGCTGGGAGACCTTAGGATAAGTTGCTAAAACAGACCGGGGAGGGGGGGGGGGGGGGGGGGGGTTAACACGAGAACTATAAAGAATTATCATTTCTTTTAAGTGTTGCCTTAGATATCAGTTTCTGTGAATCATCTTATCAATAACAGAAGTAGACATCTAACATGAAACATCATGAAGGAAACTATTCGCTAAGCCATTAGAAGGATGAGCATGCAGAAAACTCAGACCTTAAAGTTAATGCACTTTTGAAGAAGTCCTAGAGCACAAGGGGCAATGCAAACCAAAAACTGATTATTAAATGTTCACCCCATGTAACTCACAAGTAGCCCTTTACTGCACTAGGATGACACACATAGAAAGAAAATTCGAAGAAATTGTATGAGATAGTTTGCGATTTTAGTTAGGTTAAAATGAGATAACTAACCAGAAGACTGATCTTAATCACCAATAATAGCATGAATAAGAATAGACTACTACAAAAAGGGCTGCAAACAGACTGCAATATCCATATCTTGAACATAACAAACTCTATATATGATATATCGAAAGTTCAATCAGCAAAGAAATATGTTTTTGCTCAGGCTGTGCATGACCTGGCTCGAAGTCGTCAAAATTAGACAGGTTGACTTGAAAGAGATGAACTCAGACATACTGAAGCTCTACCCAACTTTACTGCAGTTCTAGATGGAACTAGTGACTTGAAAACAGAAATAATATCAATCCATGCCACTTTTGTAATCACTAGAGATTCTTTTCTATCCATTTTAACATCATCGCATTGCACAATACGATTTCAGGGCTAGTTGCATTCCATAATTGGGCATTAAATATGAATAAGCCTTCACAAGAAACGAACATTTTCTTTAAAACCTTAACGCGCATTAAAATCATCAAAAATCAAGAATGCAAAATATAATTAGATCCTTCAATCCCAAGATTTCTAATCAGATCATTCAATAATAAGCATTGAATCATAACATAAAACTATAAACCAACTTTAACCCTCGAAACGCAAATTTGATCATTCAACTTGAATTTAATTTGCAGAAATCTAGAAGAGTTGAACTTAAAAAAAAGAGTCGCGAATAGACATAGTCAAGACTCACATCAATCCTTCCAAATCCTATATTAAAGCCAGATGCCGACACAAGTGAAGTAACCACCAGTTGGATCCGAGCACTTCACGGCTGATTACAAATTGAATCTCTGTATACAACGAGACCCAGTTTCATTTCTGCCTAAAAGTGAGATTTCAATCCAAATCCACCAATTCCGGAGAGAGAATCAATTTGCACAACGATTTGTGTGCGCGTGATGAACGTCTCGTGACAATGATGAGAGAGAAAACGTAGAGATTCAAACGATGAGGAAATATCACAGAGACACAGAGAGAGAGAGAGAGAGACAGAGAGAGAGGCGGGGATTGATTCAATATTTATTTTATTTTTTTGCTTAATAAAATGTTTTATCGGGTGTTTTTTATTTAATTTTTACTTATTTTTCAATTTAATTAATTTTTGCTTTAAACCAATTAAAATTGAAGAATTTGGTCAAGAGTTTGTTCCCTTTTTTGTTTTTCCGTTAATTCTTGTATATAATCAGTTAAATGTTTAAATTAAGTATATGATCTGATTTAGAGTTTAAAGCGTTAGATCGCTTGCTTTGATCAAACCATTGGTTGCGGGCCTGTCGAGATGCTTCCCTGCAGAACCCGCCTGTAACTCAGACCCTTGCTTATAACATGTAAGCTTAGCGGGAATCTTAAAAACCTCAAAAAAAATATGTGAATAAATAATCAAAACTTGAGACATTGATATCGAGATATATATCAGCAATAGCACAACACGATAACAACATTACACAACAAGAAAGCAAAGAACGAAACGAGATCAGGGATTTGAATAAAAAAAATTACCTTCGATAGTTGAGTGAAGAAGCATCAGGGAGGTGAGAGAAGACGCACCAAACCCAGTGAAAAGTACTTGGCGCAATAAGAACAATGGACCATTGCTTCATATTTATTGTCTCTTATCAAGTAAGATGTTCTTATTATGCAGAAGGAGATGCTTACCGGTCTTCTTATTCGATCAACAGCCAAATATACGTTCACCGAATCAACGACATTTGGTAATAGATATAGGAATGTGAAAGTCATGGTAAGATACCGGATTTAGTAACGGTTTATTTTCCAAATGTTGGTATTTTTTAGAATATAAATTTAACAATAACTATTTACTTACTTATTCATTGTCGGGTGTCTTATCCATTAAGCACTCGATAAAAAGATCGATAAAAGAGACCTTAATAATGAAAAGCTACAACTACCATAGAGAAAATAATGAACATAAGGCTCAAGGGGACATGGATAGTAACTTAAGATTAGTAGATGGTTTCTATAAACCTTCCTAATATACTTATATAAGCACATGGTGTCCTAAAAAACAATGTACTTAGTATGCTCTTTAGGAAACTGATAAGAAGCTTCATATGTGCAAATAATAACGTTTAAATTCAAAGAATCTGTATTTTTAGGATTTGATCATGATTTGTTATGATTTCATCTTGATTCAAATAACCTACATAGAATTAATTTGCACCATGTAATCCTAATATTTAATGGCGTTTTTAATTGTTATTAAGGACATGTTTTTTCATATTAAGATATGTTTAGATAAAGACGTGTGTCTATATTAAATATGGAAATCCAACTCATAGCAATTGGTGCACACGGGAACAAGTCACTAATGGGTGGGAATTCCTCACCTTGGCGGGTGACCTTGGGGGAGACTAATTCGGGATAACGTCGAGGATGATACTATGCGTTGATACACACACACACACACACATATATATATAAGGTCAAGTTCATGAGAAAATCGTAAAAAATGAAAAACTGTGGAACACTCTAATAACCATTCATATGTACAATATGCATGTATGCATTGTAACACCTCATATCACACATTGCATGTAACACATACTTCATACACAAGAAATACATGTTTATACACCACATAGGTCCCTTAGTACAAGAATCTACTATTACAAAATACAAGGTCCAAAATTCCAAAATACATTTCTTGTACTAATCAACGTTCATCGAACAAAACTATACATAATATATCCAAATCTTCTAACAAATATGCATGTAGAAAAATATTACATTTTCCCCTTCCCCTTACAGTCTGAACCTCCTACAACACATATTTAAAATCACAAAAACGAGGGTTAGACCGAAAGGTCTATTGAGTTCCCTTTTTATGTTATTGCAGGGTGAGAATCACCAAAACTTTATTTAAAACAACTTTTCATATATATATATATATATAAAACAAATATATGAACAAGTAAAACATAGACCAATACCTTTCCAATTTAAAAGTCAATCATTCAGCTTTTCAAATAACATACCCCAAACCCAGACAGGTTTGAACCAACCAGGTTTCATATAATGCCATTTTTAAATATTTTTAATTCCAAACAAGGTTTAATCAAAGTTTCAAGCCATAAACCTGTTATCCCCTTCTCAATAACATCTAGACTATGATTTCCAATAAGAACTCTGATTCTAAATCTTTAAATCATAAAGAAATAAAGATCCCAAATCACAATAATCTTAAAAGATATAATAGTAAGAGTTATATTACACATCACACATACAAATGTCACCCTTATATCCAAAGGTACACCTCTCCTTGATATACCACCATTATCCCATGGTACACCTCTCCTTGATATGCCACTCTTATCCCATGTACACATCTCCTTGATATGTCACCCTTATCACATGGTACACCTCTTCTTGATATGCCACCCTTATTTCCTCATAAATCATTTCACAAAATAATTTCAATTAGAACAGACCGCAATCATAAATGTCCTAATGGAATATCATCAGTTCAAAATCATCTTTATAAAAAACTCCCATTCTTTTTAAAAGAATATTAAAATGATGATTTGTATGAACAATACATAAGTCAATACACAAATCCGGTCAACATAGACTTGGCCGAACTTCATCTCCAGTCGAGCCTTGGCCGATTTAACCAATCCAGTCAACACTCAGATTATTTGTCCGATTTACAAGTCCGGACATCACAAGTCCTTGTCCGATTTACAAATCCGGACAACATTCTCAAGGCCTTGCCCATTTACATCTAAACCGGACAACACACCAATCGATTTACAACATATCGGGCGACCTTTGTTCGATTAAATACCTAAACCGGATAGCCCTTGATCGTATTATTACTTCTCCGTTCAAAACATTTAACCGATTTTCAGAGATAGAATTTTCCAACGTATCAATCCGATCAACACTATGATCGGTTTACTCTAAATCGGATGACACTGTGCCCGATTTATACCCAATCCGGTCAAACCCTTGTCCGGTTTACTTCTATTCGGACAAACACTTGTCTGATTTTCATTTAAACCGGGTGATAAGTTTATAACACAATCAGTTATACAATTCAAGGAGATTTAAAAACATTTAACCACTCACCTTGAATTTTTAGCAAATGCAAGAGACTTTGAATCTACTTCTTGATCCCAAACAAAATAATCCGGACAACTTTCTCTCAAATCTCTCTCATATTGTCAAAAATGGCAAAAAGACTAAAGGGTAACCTCTCATTCCTTATATACTCTTTCTAAAAAGAGTATGGCGGCTAAACCACCTCCAACCCATGAATCCCTTATGCATGATATACATTTCGTGCATACATTCACATGCATACATGCATATACATTCATTCATGCATATAAATACTCATACTCGCATGATCAATTATATCAGTTTATCATGTTATCACGTAAACACATAATAAATAATCATGTATTAGTTACCTCAGGTGATAACCAAGATCCGGTTATCACATGCATATTGTCGATCCTTCACAATGCTTTGTTGATAACTCCTTTTAGACACTTAGTATTTTATGTTTTATAGTGTTTTATGCTCGTATTCCTCAGCTCTCACTGAATGTTTATCAATGAGGAATACGCAGCCAGTTAGACTATCACTAGTTGTTCTTTACCTGGAGACATCATATGAACTAGTGATACTATGATCAAGACTCAACCTTCTTGAGAAACTTCAAGCTAAGTCGAAGACATAACTGAAGACAAAGATGGGAAGAACTAAAGAGGTTTTCAAGGATCAACATATCTGCATTTAATGAGTTCTGAACAAGGAGGAAGCACAACAAGATACTGAAGAAGATTTTAGAGTTTCCTAACTTGTTGAATCAAGAGCTTGTTCATCAAGCTTCATCTCTCTGAATATGCCAAAGACGAAACCATGAAACTATGAGATAAAGGAATAGTACAACTTATGTTTTATTGTCTCTTTTCATGCATGATCACTACATGGTACATTATTCACTAGCGTCTAAAGTTTGGCCAGAGAAAGGACAAGCATAATCAGTCATCCTCTCCCTCAGTGATACATGACATGTACTGTGTTAATGTATTAAATGCACTTGGTATAAATACTAGTATAGAGCTCATTCCCTTGTACGCGTCTTCAAGAGTTATCATTTTGTGCTTAATTTTGCAAGAGAGATCATGTGAGATTCTTAGGGAGCATTTGGTTCGTAGAATGGAATTTGATGGAATTGGAATCCATCAAAGGAATTTGACCTTGAAGGAAATGGAATGGAATTTGACCACGCGTTTTGTTGGTTGAAATTGGAATGAAATCTCTCAAAAGAAATTTGAATCAGAGCAATGAACAAGACTTGACGCCTCCACAATATCCACACAAACATTCTGAATCATTTGCCTTCTTATGATGCTAGTCATGGTTTCAAAACTTACAAAGAAAGAAAAAAGCATATAATTGTAAGTGATTTCTAGAGAAAATTGCAGGACAACTTTTTACATAAAGTGTCATACATATTTATGGTGAATAAAGTATGGCATAATACCACCACCATCTCTACACCTTACTTGAATGTAAGAGTGGACATACACTATCACTTAACTTTTAAAATCGTCCCTAGTCAACTTATTTCATGTCCAACATAAATAATAACTAATTTTTATTTAATCAGATTAAATCAATACAAATAAGATATAATAATTAAACATTTTAATTATTAGAACTCCTTATTCAAATATGTTCAAAGCGTGTGACCTAATGGGTTCTTGACATGTTGATAATAAATATAAATCTTGTATTTTTTTAGTTATAAACAATGATCAGTATCTAGAAATACGTCACAGTCACTCAAATGATGAAAATTGGTGATACAACAAATTACCGATTTGTAGTCAATTTTAGTTTATACATTTAATTCTTTTGTCCTTTATGTCTAGATTGGACACGGAACATTGAATGTGTCATTCTCGTTATG